TACCAATATTTTCAAATTCTTATCCTTTGATGACATGACAAGTATTGTATTTCACTTAGTTTACATGCTGATTTCCACATCACATCTAAACAATAAAATAAAGCTACCAGTACCTATGATATAACTCAGGTGACCGCTAAGGCCCTTGGGCCTCTTGTTTACAGAGTTATTGCTCTTTGTTGAAAAACACTTGCCCATACAGCTTTTGCAAAACTATACTGGGCCAATTTCAATGAAAGATTTCACATATGGTAACTAAGTTTATTTAAGCTCACCTGGCCCGAAGGGCCAAGTGAGCTTATATAATTATGCCATGGCGCAGCATCCGGTGTCCGTCCTCCGTCCTCCGTCAAATTTTTCCTTTAAAACGCTACTCGTCCTTAACAACTTAGAGGGTTTTGACCAAGTTTGGTCTGGAGCATCATTGGCCAAAGGGTTCTCAGTTTTGTATAAATGGAGAGTATGGTTCCCCTGGGGGCCAAATAGGGGGAAAATAGGTAAATCTTTAAAAATCTTCTTCTTCTCAACCAATATAAGGATTTTGACCAAATTTGTTCTAGAGCATCTTTGGACAAAGTAGCCTCAAGTTTGTATAAACGGAGGGTGTGCATGGCCCCACTGGGGACGGAGGAGCGGGGCCCAATACTATACAAGTGAAGGGATTTAAACTAAATGCAGTCTGAAGCATGGTTAGGGACAAAAGAATCAATTTTGTATAAACTGAGGTGTGTGGGCCCCCTTTTTTGTGGTAGATGGGTGGGTCCTATTAGGGGAAATGTGGTCTTTCCCACCAAAACAGATTTGCATGTAGTTCTGCTTGAAACTTTGTTTACTGTACTCCTTTGATAAACCTGTATGCATGGTACTCAGCAGGTTTTAAATTGAAAAATAAAATACCCGGTGAGCTATTAAGGTCCCTGGGCCTCTTGTTTTACTACAAACAACAATATCCTAAGAACCATTCGGACTAGAATCATGATACTTGGGTATGTTATGTAGACCAGCAGTGCCAATTTTTTTCTTAATTACAGTAATGAGGTCAAAGGTCAACTTTAAGTGCTAAGTCGGGGGTCAAATGTCAACATGGGTTAAAAGCTTTAACAATCTTCTATTCAAGTTCCATAAGGCCCAGAGTCATGATTTTTGGCCAGTAGGTACCAGGAATAGAGTGCTATAAAGTTTCTTCATTAACATGACCTTGACCTACTTTCTAGGTCACAGGGGTCAAATATGTTAAAAACTTCAAACAACAATATCTCAAGAACCATTTGGACTAGAGTCATGAAACTTGAGTATGTTAATTGTGTAGGGAGTGCTATACAGTTTCCTCATTAAAATGACCTTGACCTACTTTCAAGGTCACAGTGGTCAAATATGTTAAAAACTTCAAACAACAATATCTCAAGAACCATTTGGACTAGAGTCATGATACTTGGGTATGTTATGTAGACCAGCAGTGAGAATATTTTTCTTGATGACAGTAATGAGTTCAATAATCAACTTTTAGTGCTAGTCGGAGGGGGTCAACGACAACATGGGTTAAAAGCTTTAATAATCTTCTACTCAAGTTCCGTAAGGCCCAGGGTCATGACTTTTGGCAAGTAGGTACCAGGGATAGAGTGCTGTAAGGTTTTGTTATTTAAATGACCTTGACCTACTTCCAAGGTCACAGGGGTCAAATATGTTAAAAAATTCAAACAACAATATCTCAAGAACAATTTGAACTAGAGTCATGATACTTGAGTATGTTATGTAAACCAGCAGTGTGGACCTTTTTCTTTATTACAGTAATGAGGTCAAAGGTCAACTCTAAGTGCTAGTCAGGGGTCAAATGTCAACATGGGTTAAAAGCTTTAACAATATTCTTCTCAAGTTCCATAAGGCCCAGGGTCAGAAGGTACCTGGGATGGAGTGCTATAAAGTTTCTTCATTAAAATGACCTTGACCTAGTTTCAAGGTCACAGGGGTCAGATATGTTAAAAACTTCAAACAACAATATCCTATAAAGCATTATGTAGACCAGCTGTGAATCGTGTTCTATATTACAGAAATGAGGTAAAATGTCCACTTCAGGTGCTAGTCGGAGTCAAAGGTCAACGATGATTAAAAGCTTTAAACTAAAATTTCAAATTTCAAAAAATTGCAGTTACCTAAAGGTCAGTTTCATGTAACAAAAGAAGCAGGTGAGTGATACAGGCCCTCACAGCCTCTTTGGGTTTTTTTCCAGTTTGTCAGTTTGTCAGTTTCTCCAATCTACTTGGCCAATTTCAAAGTTTACAGATATGGTAACTGACCCCTGACGTTTTTATTTTTTTCACTTTTTCATTCCGACCCTTTTAAAAGGAGTTATGGCCCTTTGTTGAAAACAAACACCCATTGTCCCCTTAATAACTGGTCCGATTTCAATGAAAGTTTACAGATATGATAATTACCCCTGATGCACAGTATTTTTTTCATTTAAGGAGTTATGGCCTTTTGTTAAAAATCTTTGCTATGACAACTCTTCCTCAACTAAAAGGACAATTTCAGCAAAACTGGTTCATCTGGGCTAACAAGATTTGGTCTGCAAGTATGTTTTACCATTGGGAGGGGACTAAAGAAAGTATGTCAGTTACCTATATATACTTAAATAAGTGTACAGCTCAGTGAATAAAGAAATAATTACTGTGGGGAGACTATGGATTGCTTTGCAATGATTTACCTTAGTTAGCCTTTAGCTTCCAGTTCTGGTTTATATAGGAGCAGGGGTATTAGTTAGCCTTTGGCCTACAGTTCTGGTTTATATAGGAGCGGGGGTATTAGTTAGCCTTTGGCCTACAGTTCTGGTTTATATAGGAGTGGGGGTATTAGTTAGCCTTTGGCTTACAGTTCTGGTTTATATAGGAGCGGGGGGTATTAGTTAGCCTTTGGCCTACAGTTCTAGTTATAATTTAAGTCTTGTATTTCTGCTCCTACACAATGTCTTTCAGTGCAGTATTGTAATGGAAGTGAAACTCCAATAGTCTGAAGTTTGATTCTCTTTATATGTGTTCACACCTATGGAATTGAGTTTTTCTGGAACCACAGACAGACCGATGTATAGCCTACAGAAATGGACAGGTACCCCTTTAATACTGAGAATTTCTATAGTTTCTACCCCAATACGCTGTGTTATTCCACTCTCAGATCATTGTATAAACATGCAGACTGTTAGATAAGTATAAGTTATATACCACATGTGGTATATGACTTCAAGAGTTTTGGTTGGTCGAGAAGATGAACTTTGACCGGTGAAGACTTTTTCCACATGCTTTTTGACACCTGCTGTTTTGTTTACGTCGTCGGCTGTCAACATCGGACAAATGTTGGTGACTTTGTAAGGTTATGCAGAAAGGAGGGTTATTAGGGCAATATTAAAAGATGATACTTAAAGATTTGACCTCTAGTTTCAGGCAAAATTGCTACAGATGCTCGATATCGTTTCGACGTCACACCGTTGTGTGTCCAGGTCTTGACACCAAAACTAGATCTGTCACAGTGTCGGGAAATATTTCGTTCTCCCAACGTCCCGTTATTGCTATTTAGACGGTCTGACTATAGCTGAACTTTCACTATAAACGTCAACCATAGAACCGTCACGAAGAAACGTAGGCCTATGGTTTTGGATATTGACAGCGATAAGTTCGTCTACAACGGTTCATCACTTGGCGGGAGGCAGACTTCGTACGATATGCTTACGCGCATATAGTCTGTGGTTAATTTATATAAATTAATGCAATACTGCTACTCTCAATATTTAAAGTCATTTATCTATTTTATTTTTTCACAAAGTTGCTGCCGAAACATTAATTTTGACAATAATTAAATTTGTAAAAAAATAAAGTCATTTTTGAATATTAATGAGTGACTTTTTATATATGGGTCATATCACTACGCCAGCCTTGTTAACAAACACATGTGTGTATGTTCATGAGATTGTGGTAGAAACAGATCACACGACTCGTGGTTATTGAGTATGGTATTTATTTCACTCTCGTTAGTTAATTTTCAAAAGTTACAGAAAGACACTCGCTAAAGCTTGTGTCTTTTGTAACTTTTGAAAATTAACTAACTCAAGTGAAATAAATACCATATTCAACAACCACTCTTTGTGTAACCTCTATTTATTATATTGTACTGTATACTGGGAAACTCCCACCCATAAAAATACCAGGTATTCGCCCTTTTCCGATAAAGCTCATGTTCGCCCAGTGTTAATTTCGCCATTCACATGTTATTACTACATATTTCATGTTGGCGATAATTTCCCATTATACAGTATACATTTCATGTCCTCTGTTATGACCTATGGGACAGACAGCTTCTAATATTATCATTGCTATCAATTCAGACTGACAGTTCACCTTAAAATAGTTGGAATTTTGAGTGGGCATGTGCAAAAATAATGACTTCTGTCCTGCTTCAAAACCGCGCCTTGAGTTATGTAATATTGATATAGCTTTCCATTTGGTCTGTGTACAGATGCTGGATGTCATTCACATTACATCCTTGTTGACAAAACAGATTTCTGCTTACAGATTCCAGTCAGCGAGTACAAATATTTGCATTTCTACAAACCCCCACAGCACCCCCTCAACATTTCTACAAACCCCCACAGCACCCCCTCAACATTTCTACAAACCCCCACAGAACCCCCTCAACAATTCTTACAGCTGTTTGCTGTTGTGCATTGACTTTCTGCTGGATGTGTTAAAATTTCACTATTGGACAAGGATATTGATTCAAAATAGTTGGTCTCACTTAAACAGACTTAACTCATTCTTCTCTGAAATTTCATAATGAACTATACCAACCTTTGAATTGGAAGAGATTCAAATGTGTCTTCAGGGGTGAAAAGTTAATTAAGTGTGAACTATAAGATAGCCCTCACATCAACCAGAAGAATCAATTGTTCAGATTATGCATGGTCTTTGTACAGACTTTTGAGGTAACTTGTGTTTGTTGTTTCTATGTACTTTCAGATTTCAATGGACTAGACACAGAGATCGCTGATGTGTCCAAAGGTCTGAAGCCAAAAGTGAACAAACTTAGAGACTTGGAGCACAAAGAAGATGTCAAGGGTTTCGGCCTCAATGCAATGTCCAGGGATGAGATACAGGCTGTAGAAGCACTCTTGTGACATCTACATGTACACTGCAATGATATACTCAAAACACTATTGAGCTCTTCAGATCTTCTGTGTGTTCTTCACGTTTCCTTATATTATTTTATTAAGCAATAGGCAAAAATGCCTTTGTGCATTACATAATAACAATCCACATAGGTGGTACAGGTGGAGTGGAACATGAACATGGACAAAGAAATATATTTTGTAATTGGTATAATAATATAATTATATACAGCGACAGGTTCTAAGAATATTGGACAAATTCCTAAAATACGACGGTATGCCTCGGATTCTTCAACATTAAGAAGAACATTAAAAGTGTAAAGGTATATACTACATAAAATGCTTGTGTGTTAGTGTTTCATAGTTATTATGGATACAGTAATGGATACTGTGAGAGCGAGCTTGATGACAAGCATTATGAAAAATAAAAATCTTATGTGAAAAGTATATATAAAAAAACAATAGGAAGATTGCTGATTTAATTCGTATTTGTCTTGCATGGTGTTTCTAATATATCATTTTTATAATAAGAGTTATAAAAAGACTACATATTTGTCTCTCAGCTTGTGTTTAATATCATTTCAAAATTTGTAATAATGTGTTTTGCAGAAGAAGAAAAAATGGATGGTTGTTGGGAAGTTATTTCAGTAAATCATCTGAACAATTAATACCTGGAATGTCCTGTGACAAGGATTTGATTTTTAAGCTCCAAACTTTAATTTATAGGTAATTGAAAAGCAACCTAATTACGTAAGCTCCACTTGGGGTTAATTTAGACCAGTTTTACTGTATTATAGTCACAGTGTAAGGCTGTCCCTGGTGCATAATGTAACAATTTTCCTTAATTCACTACCTCTTAACTTCAATGTAATTTGATATATTACACACACAATTATCACAAGATAGCGTGCCATATTCTGTATTTTCCTATAACTAGTTTTGAAAATCAATGTGGCTACAATTTAGATATGACAGGATTAATTTTACTTGGATTGTGGTTACATTAAGTTCAATAATACTTTATAAAGATATGTCAATAGCACAAGTTGAATACATACACAAATTTATTTCTGAATTTTTTAATCGCCAAGCAAATGTGATCCAAGTTTCGGTCCAATGAAAAGAGACTTTGTGTCTAAGAATTGTTTTAATGCATTTTTGCCAAATGGTAGAAGATTATCAACATTAGTATGCTTATAACAGGGACATTAGTATTTAATTAATAAATTTTAATTTCTGGAAATCCCATAATTGTCACAAGACAAAGACCCTATTAGATAGTACTCTGGTAATGATGTAACTTGTACAAAATCCAGTGGTTGAACCTCACTTTAATTTAGCGGCACAGACACTGCAGCACCCACCCCAATACTCCACCTTAGTTGCTGGGGTTGTGTGGACAGGTCAATTTCTGTGAAAATTCAATGCTACAACTGTTTTGAACATCGAGCCATGTCTGTCTGCATGGGAGGCCAGAAAGACTCCAGTGTTTAAGAATTGACCAAATCCAAGCCAAAGGTAGAATCAATGTTATGGGTATAGAGAGAAGAACAGGTCCCAAAAAATCTTGAAGTCACACTGATGAAGAACAGAGGTGGAAAAATTATCATAAGGCATCGATGGGCCATGCATTTATGAGGTGGTGCCTCATGTTAGGCACAAGGGTGTTGCTGATTGTCAGCTGTAGGTTACTGAAAAAGGATTGACAAATTTTAACTAATCCAAGGAATATGCACATTCATATAACTGAATTACTGGTATTTCATTTTGTTTATACAGGTCCAAGGGCGTCTTGTTTACAATTGCATGGCCATTACAGCTGCCACATGACAGATAATTTATCTCATGCATAATGTATTCAAATATAATGCCAGTGTGTGATTATCAGTTGAAATCAACAGATTATATCTGGAGGGTAAAAATCTGTTCTCAAAACGCATGGGGGTCATTTCAATGAGAGAATTTTTTATTGTAATAGGTGCTGATATTTGAGGGATGTACAAAAAAAATGTACATATCTCAACAATTTATTTCATGCTTCAGTAAATTAATTGCTTCGTATTCAATTCAATTCATTGCTTCGTATAAAGATCCATAGTGGAAATTCATGGAAACAAAATACCCCTTGGTCACTACAGCCTAAAAGCAGATGACACATTTATATGTCATAAATAGTTCATATACAGTGTACATAAGTATTAGTCCATTAATTCTGAACAGGATTGCACAATTTTGTCAAATATTATTAACATTTATTTGCAATCCTCTGCAGAATTTAATCATATGACTAACTCTGATGCAGTTTAATGTTTAATTCTTCAGCTTCAGGTGAACTAACTTAAATAAATCACATTTCTTTTGAAGTATCCCTTACCCCAAGTGTTGACATATTTTCTTTTGAAGAGAGATCACAATATTTTATTGTTGTGAACTTTATCCCTGGACATATAACATATGTCTAAATGTGGCCAATATTTTATGTAATAATGCCTGGTAAGATTTCTGATCAAGCCTTCAATGGTCCTCTGTTGAGTCACCTGTCAAGCAATGGCGAGGCTACAGATCACTTGGTTATCATTAGCCGGAGGTTGCCATGCATTTAAGTACTGCTTTTGAGTTTTTCAAACTACCAACAAAGTTTGAATTAACTGTTTAGACGTCAATGTTCACCTGAAGTGTCTGCACAAATGTTTTCATGCAATAAATCTTGGAGAAAGGCTTTGATTTTAGTGAAACATTTAACAATTACCAACTATGTTTGATTTAGGCCCAGATCTGAATTTCAATATGGTCGCCAGTGGCCGTCTTGAACATGGACAACTAAGGGCTTCTGTAGGATATCTCCAAAGGAATGCTTTATTAGTCCCCCACCAGTTCCAAGAAGTTTGTCCGGGTCACATCTTCTTTTCTTTTTCAACTGGAGTAACCAGATTTGGTGTACAATGATATCTTGGGATGGCAAAGTGCAGAATGCAAGAATTAGATCACTATGACCTCACTGTGACCTATGCCTTGACCTTGGACCTTAATTTTTGAAACAGTTTGTCCGGGCGTATCGTCTGTACTACATTGTATTTCACTGGAGTTACCCGACTGTTTGTTCAATATAGAAATCATTACTGGTGGGGGACTATGGATTGCCTTGCAATACTTTGCCTTGTTTTCATCAAAATTTCGTATAACTGCTAATATATTCTAGAATCAATTGTGAGCTTTGATTGATTCTGAGTGTTGGATCTGAAATTAATAAGACTGCCATCATGAATGATGTATAGATATGTTTCCAACCATATCATTGAGGAAATGATAAGATTTTTTAAACCTTACCTGGTACACTTACTTCCAAAGTCCCCAGCTCAAGTTTGATGCAGGGCCAAATGTTTACATATTTAAAAACACTGTCATTAGATAAGCTGATACTTTAAAAAAACATTTAAACAATTAAGTTCTTTCAACTTACCAGGGTATTTTATTACACTTATTGGATTAGCTAGCTATAGTGTGTGGGGGTCTTAAGGTGGGAGAAAACAGGAGTACCCAGAGAAAATCCATGTGGTTAGGTAGGTGACATCGTACCTTTTCATGTCCTATTGGGGAATCGAACCCTGGCCGCCTTGGTGAAAGGCAAGTGTGTTATCCACTGCGCCAACAGACCATCCAAGTTTCAATTTGATGCTTTTTGAACGAGTTCATATTAAGGAATAATCAGAGTTTGCTTAAAAGTGCCTGGTATACTTTCAACCCATGTGCTTATCTCTAGTTTGTTTGATGCTCGCTCAAATTTACAAGTTAAATCGGGCTGCTGCAATCTGATTTGCTGATGGCTTCAAGAGGATATCTTATGAAAGATTTATCATGCCCAGTATATTTTTTACCCACACTCAAGTTGAATGCTATGACATTCACCTGTTAAATGAGGCTGCTGCAGTCTGATCGGCTGATGGTGATATCTTTTTAAAGGAATTATTTCAAATCTCTTGCTCAAGCTTGATATCCAGCCAAATTTGCATAAATTCAATGAGGCTGCTGCAACCTTATCAATAACAAACTATATTGGATTTTTTCATGGGTCAATTGCTGGTACAGATGATTTCCTTTGAATTCTTGTAATAGTCAATCAATGAAAATTTTAATAAAATATTATGGTTTTCATTTAACACAGAACTAAAAAACATAAGAAAAAATCTCATATTAAAAATGAAAATCAGTTTTATTAAATGATACAAGTTCAACTTATATCAGTATACATAATAAGATTGCCAATTGTAATGTCTGAATTGAATACATATGATAGAGCTATTTTTGTCATATTGACTACGTTTCATTATCCATAGCTTGATTAATTCATTTTTGTCTTGAGATTTGATAAATAAATGGTAAAAATAGCAAGAGAAAAAGATTTGAAAGGGGATTTAATATATATAGAGATGTAACTTTAATCTGTTCTCAGGAAATATCTGCAGCACAGTTTCGTAAAAAAACTTGCAAATATTTTAAATTAACAGTTGACAATGTCAGAAATTAAGTTATAAGTCGGAAACAAAAAGGAACATGCCCGTACAGAGAATAAGATACATTAATTATCTCCCTTTAATGTGTTTTTTTACAGAGAATAAGATACATGAATTATCTCCCTTCAATGGGTTTTTTTTCAAGACTTGTTTAATATTTCAAACGCATCTTTCTTACTGTTACAGCTCCACATTTTATTTCATATATGCAATCATATAAGACATCTAATTTGACACAGATAGGCAATGCTTTTACCATGAGTTATCCTGAAGTCAACAATACAAACTTACCAAGTAATGCACAGGAAATTAACCTGTTTAGAGGTTCTTATGGCTGACTGGGGCTTGAAAAATCTAAATCTCTTATTAAAGAATATGTTACATATATACCACAAAGAGAAAGAACGATTAAAGCAATGGATATAAAAAAATATCCATGTGGTGCTGAATGATCAGAAAAACAGCATTATCAAAGGTACACTTTTCAGTTTGTTTTGAGTTACATACCTAAATATGTACCACATATTTATATATACAAGTCACTAACAGTATCACAGCTGCACTAGCGAATCAAACCATTGACATTGCATGCATAGATAAAAAAAAAAAAAAGACAATCTGGTTCCCTTAGTCTTCCATTTTCAAAGTTTCCCACCTTTATAAGGCCATATATAGCTGCCTAACACTGTCGAAACATACATAGCTGTACCCTTATCACAGTACATGACCTTTGGTCTGAGACACACTACAACACCCTGCCTCCCAGGCCTGCACACACACACACACGCGCACAAGCACACATACACAACACATATGGAGGCACATCCTTTAATGACCTTAGCTGTTAGAAGTTAAACAAAATAAGACAAAACCAAACATACTATGACCTTTGACCTGAATGAAAGTTAAGTTTATGTCAACAAACTGTTTGAGCACTCTTGATTTAAGTCATTAAGTTACATGATGGGGAAGAATCCTGCAGTCTCACACTTCATTGGAAGGATTGATAAACCACTCAGGTAAAAATGCATACTGGGAGTTTGGCTCCAGTCTCTGGCACCTAACGTCACAACCTGGTTCCCATTCCAAGAGATGGACAACACTGAAACATGGAGTGGAAAACAATACAGGAAGTGGGTAACACTGAAACAGCAAGTTGACAACACTGATACAGAAAGAGGCAACAAAGATACCGGGAGTATCTGTTAAGATACCGGGAGTATCTGTTAAGATACCGGGAGTATCTGTCGGGAGTATCTGTTAAGATACCGGGAGTATCTGTAAAGATACCGGGAGTATCTGTCAGGAGTATCTGTAAAGATACCGGGAGTATCTGTCAGGAGTATCTGTAAAGATACCGGGAGTATCTGTCAGGAGTATCTGTAAAGATACCGGGAGTATCTGTCAGGAGTATCTGTAAAGATACCGGGAGTATCTGTCAGGAGTATCTGTAAAGATACCGGAAGTATCTGTCAGGAGTATCTGTAAAGATACCGGGAGTATCTGTAAAGATACCGGGAGTATCTGTCAGGAGTATCTGTTAAGATACCGGGAGTATCTGTTAAGATACCGGGAGTATCTGTCGGGAGTATCTGTCAGGAGGATCTGTAAAGATACCGGGAGTATCTGTCAGGAGTATCTGTTAAGATACCGGGAGTATCTGTCGGGAGAATCTGTTAAGATACCGGGGGTATCTGTCGGGAGTTTCTGTTAAGATACCGGGAGTATCTGTTAAGATACCGGGAGGATCTGTAAAGATACCGGGAGTATCTGTCGGGAGTATCTGTTAAGATACCGCGAGTATCTGTAAAGATACCGGGAGTATCTGTCAGGAGTATCTGTCAAGATACCGGGAGTATCTGTCGGGAGTATCTGTTAAGATACCGCGAGTATCTGTAAAGATACCGGGAGTATCTGTCAGGAGGATCTGTAAAGATACCGGGAGTATCTGTCAGGAGTATCTGTCAAGATACCGGGAGTATCTGTCGGGAGTATCTGTCAGGAGGATCTGTAAAGATACCGGGAGTATCTGTCGGGAGTATCTGTTAAGATACCGGGAGTATCTGTTAAGATACCGGGAGTATCTGTTTCCATGCCAATATCCTTTATAGAAGTTTTAGTGAATGTCAAAAATTAAAACATTACATAATTGCAAGGACAAAAGTTACCTGTGATTATTGGTGACAATTGTTTGCTTGATGAAAGTGAGGAACTGATCCAGAAAATTGAAGCATACATTGGGTTTCCACGGATCTCTTAGATTCTGCAAAAAAAAAGATGCAATTAACGAGAGAAATCTGTCTACTTGTTATTTTAAAATCTTTCAATGAAGCCACGTGTTATGTACCAACATTTGCCTTGTTAAGAAAGTCTGTTTAGTTAAGGTCTCTTCTCGTCAGAGTAATTCTTATGTACTTACCTTGGCAATGCTAGGAATGTCTAATGTGTTGAAGTTCTCTAGTCTGTGAACTATCCCATCCCGATCACGGAAGCCAGCAACAATTTGCGTAATACCAACCAGAAAACTCTGGGCCCACCACTTAATCAGCTTGTACCTAGATGTTCAAGGGAGTATTGATATAATTAAAGGACTTTTTATTCAAATCTACAGTTATATCAAAGCAATACAAATCAAGAAAGGTAAATTTTCTAACCACTGAATGCTTGCCTGATTTTTTTTTAAATTTCCATGATTATGTGTGCTCAGAATTCAAAAACATAAATAAAAGGTGTGTATATACCCCAAAGAAAAATCTCTATTTTAAATGGCATCTTTTGAGCTTTTCTTTCAGATGAAATCATTCGATCTTGCAAAAAAGGAATAGTTTCGCAAATTCACTGACTAGTTGAAAATGCTCAATTTTAGCGTCCAAAATGGGGAGAGTTGGCAAATATTCTTATATCACACATTACCACAGTTTGAATGATATACACACAGGAAGTGACATTAGTCGACAAATAACAACACATAATCAATGCAAAACCATGAACATTTGTATTAAATATGGTTAAAATGGATGCCTCAGCCAGTAAGACACTAGATTGACTATATCATGGATATTGAATGAGCTTGAAAAACAACAACATTTATGTACTGCAAGACCATATGCATTTATTATTTTACATTAACTTGGACTGGAATATAATGGTGGAGTTGCAAAAAAAAGATCATATTTCTTGTACTTCATTTCTCTTATTAGGCTCCACCCTCTGACCCATGGGTGTCTACATATACAGTAAATCTCCATATATAGCGGGGCACAGAGATTCTCCAAATCTAGTCCAATCTGAACTAGCCATCTCTTACAGGAATGTTGATGGATGGAGGATGATGAACACTACTGTACGCCATGACAACACAGGTTGACCTGCACTTCCTGCCAGGTGGACTTATAAGGTTTAGGTTACTTATATAAACTGACCTCCTGAAGCTGAAATCCTGTTTCTGAGTCTCAATCTCCATGTTAGTTTTAAACTCCACATACTGGTAAGGCTTGCCTGGACCTGCTTCAGAAATTGCTGCATCCACTTCACCGCCATACACTACAATACAGGACCACAGACACTACAACAATTACGCCGCCATTAAGTCATCCTTGATACTCCACTCCAGGGGTTATGCTCTCTTTCACTCTCTGCACCCCTGGAATATGTCATAGCCAATTTGAAGGCATGCGGCTAGTTATTTGATTGGTCTCGGGTAAAATTAATAATTACCAATCTCTAGACTGGTACCTGTACTTTTAAGATCACAAAGGAGCAAAACCCGATTTCAAAGCCAGTCAATTTTACCGTTATGTGACTAACAAAATAAATGGAAGTACATTAAAGGATCCAACTAGTCTCTTCGTCTCATCCACATGGTGGTGCACACTGAGCCATCGATTTAGCTTGGACATATTCCACGGGTGCAGAGAGCAAAGGTGAGTGTAACACCTGGAGTATCGAGGATGCAATACAGTAAGTCTGAAAACATGTACTTTATATATATATACATACCAGGTACTACAACAGGAGAAATAGAAATGCACAGCCAGACTGGGATTCAAACGTCAGACCCTTCGAAACTACAGATGGAATCTCTACCAATTGAGCTTCCTGGTCGCAGACGATTGACCCAGTCCAGTTCTGCTTTCTGCCATCTCTTTTTTTAAGTCGTTGCCTCCGAAAACATCACTATTTACAACCCAGGGTATCCTGACAAGCTCACTACTCTTATAACAGGAAAAAATAAAGAAATACATGGCCATGCATGCAAACTTTGATTCAAACAAGGGACCCTCCGAACTCTAAACGGATGCTCTACCAATTGAGCTACCTTGTCACCAACAATCAACCCAGTCCAGTTCTGCCACATATACTGTGAAAGAGAACATTGTACACATATGTACAATGCGAAGTATATTTTCTCTAGAAAAACTATTTATTGTAGAGAATAGTTGATGGTCAGTCCTCTCAGACAAATAACTACTCAATCATTGCTTCTTTCCTCTAGCAAGGCAATGTTCAATTTATACATCGAAATCATAAGAAATCTTTGCTTTTGAGTTTCATCTTTTATCAATTTGATCTTTTATAAAATTGAGTTTGTGCAAATGATACTGTCGTACTCTTCAAATTATGAAAAAAGCATCTACACATCAATTTTCCAAATAAATTAATGTTCTTAAACATTTTCTTATATTCAGTCTTTCTAGTACATGTATTGAAAAACTGGAATTCAACTTACCTAAGGAGTGAGAATTCAGCCTTGAGCGCACAACAGTACAGTAACCCTCATTGGTGTTGACAAGAGTGTTAGTGTCTGGAGTGCCATTCTGTGTACCTGAAAATCCCAATCTTTTATATTAACTTATGATATAATTATAATAAATATTAGCTTTACAATCTGAGGCTTCGATTCATAAACAAATAGGAAATAAAACAGCAAGGAATTCTTTGAACTTTTATGGTCAATTTGCATAATAACTTGCTGATATAGTCCAGTCACTTAAATATTAGGTTTCTGAAATTATATAAGGTCTCTAATGACTTGAACATTTACTATTAATGATTTTCCTTGATATCGATTTGTGCACATGTATGTATCGATTCTTTGATGTCAAGCACGTACATGTACACTAACATGCATTGTGCATATATAAACATTTTTAAGATGACATTTTGCTGTTAATTTATTTTCTTTAGGGTAATTTGGAAATTGAAGAGAACCCTCGAATATTTAGAATATTGACAATACATATTTACAATTAAGGAAACAACAAACTACTCCTTCAGAAGTTACATAGATACACTTCAACTGTTAGTTGTAAAAAAAATAGAATAAGCTCCAACAATGTTCATTGTTAAAAATGAAATGTTGGCTGACAGGACGGACTGTCCCTATACCCCTTAACTTGAGTTAAAACTGTCTAACATGGATTAATATACTTACCAGCTGTCACATACTGCTCAAATTTCCATCCCCAATAACACATCTCATCTTGTTTTCCAGTCCTGTTTTTCTTAAACTCTGCATTTTTCTTTGTATCAAACTCACAAAGAAAAAAAGTATCTCGGAATCGTATGATGGCTATTTTCCAGCCCTCAGAGGTCTGGGACGGTGTACATAGCAATCTGGTCAGCAAGCCTCGCCAGCACACAAAATCTGTATTGATGCCTCTGAGGGAAAATAGATGTAAATTTCAAAATCTGTACTTTCTGCAATCATATCCAGAAATCTTATACTTTTAAAATTCAGCATGAATGTAATATTTCCACTTTTTTAGCACCTATTAATGTGTTATTCCCTGCTACTGCACATCTTCTCCTCAATGTCATATATTGATATGTCTACATTTGGAAATTATTGAATTGAATGCCTCTATATGACCCTATAGAATTCAGATGAATTTATACAGCTATGAATGACATGGCCAGTTTACAAATGTCCTAATGGTAGCATTGGGTACACAGTCTATCAGTTTCAAATTTAAATATCCAAATGCTTATTTTCTTTTGTATGTTGATTATAACTGTATATATATAAGTGAATTATTCTGAGCAGCTTTCAATTGTAACTATGAATGCAAACTGAAATTTTGAAACATGATACACTCACTAATGTATGCAAGCTGAAAACAACACAAAGCTTAATAGTTCCTTCTGGATCTGGACTGTACGATGTAGGGCCTTCTCAGCCATAAACACATCGGGAGAGAGAGTGCTCAGAGGCGCTTAGTTGTGCAGTTGCAGTAGGGCTAACTCAAAAAACCCTCGAGTGACTCTGCACGAACAACATTGTTTGAAAGCCGATTCCAGTCAATGGTCTTTTTGGGAAAGAATGCGTTTTTATAGACAGGTGTATTACAGTTTGTAGTTTTAAAGCAACTACAGTTGTTGGTTTCCTGGTTTTCTATATGTTTTTTTGCGACAGTCCGTCAAATATTAAGCTATAATGTTCCGTTCCCCTCGGATTGGTGTTAAATAATCCTAACAGTACTGGCTGGCAACAGCCCCTCGGCCACTTTATAAAAAAACGCTAATCTGTTCTGCTTCCTTCTCATTTTAAGTGGGGACGTGATAGGGGTCCCAGACCAAAGAGATATACTCTACAGTTGACCAAACTAGGGCAAGGAGCACTGTTTTTCGACATGAAGCTGGGCAATGTTTCAGGTTCTTCAGCATAAACCCTAGAGTGGGGTTGGCCATCTTTACTATCTTGGTGATGTGTGGACCAAATCAAAGGTCTTCTGAGAGGGTCACTCTGTGATATGGGGATTCCTGTGCTTGCTGTAGGTTGTGGTTGCATTGTCAAGCTGGTAGAAGTGTTGTGACTTGCAGTTAAAGCTCATGATGTAGCACTTCTTGGCATTGAAACACTGATGGCATGTTGATGTCCATCTCTCCAAGTAAGCAAAGTCCTTTCAGAGTTGCAGGTGGTCTCTCATGTTCTGGATGCTCCTGTACAGTAGGCAGTTGGACTGAGTTTAACTCTACATCGTTGACCACCACCTTTATGCTACGATTTGTCAGGAAGTCTCTAAATAAGCCAGCTGTTCAATTACCTATCCACCCTGTACATGTTCATCTTATGGAGTAGTTTGTTGTGGGGGACGTGTCAAGTTCCTTTGAAAAGTCAAAAATTGCCATGTCCATCTGGGCACCGACGTCATACTACCTCATGAGTTCATGGACAGATGTTACTAGCTGCGTCTCTCATGAATAGCCTGATCTGAAGCGGTGGTTAAATGATGTTAGGATCCTGTTCCTTTCCAGTTGGTTCATGATGTGCTTGCAGGATACACAGGTGAGCGAGAGCAGTCTATAATTCACTGCCTTATAACTGCATGTCTCCCCTTCTTAAAAGCAGGTGTTACAGTAGCATGGAGCCAGTCAGCTGGTAGTTTGCCACTGTCGATCGAGCACTGGAAGATGCATTGAAGTGTAAGAGACAGTTGGCGAGCACAGTTTTTCAGTATGGTGTTGGGATCACATCAGGACCTTGGGCCTTATAATTGCTGGTATTGATGTTTTCTAGGAGCTTAAATAAATAGGAGTTTTAATATAAAACCATTACCAAATCTGTGTGTCAATGTACTACATGCCTGTAGACCATCTCATATACATTGTGCTACATACTTACTGAGGAATATTGTTTTCTGTCTGTTCTTTGGTTTTGTCAGATTTTACTGCAAATACGGAAGGGTTACTGATAATCCATCTCAACAAGTCATCTAACAGGTCTGGTTTGGATTCATCTTTCCTGATATAATCTTTGTATCCAATTTTAAGATCAAAACAAACATCATTGGGATCCTCTGGAGGTATATAATATTTCATCTGCTGTCTACTTGAAACGAACTGTCTTGTGCTATCCTGGGAAAAGGAGCCGATTTCAGTTGGTCTCCTGAAATATGGGAAGTCTGTGTCATATTTAGAGTTTGGAAATAAGTTAAAATATTTCTCTGAGTTCTGTGCCATGTGACTGTCTTGTCTTGTGGTCGAATATTCCTCATTTGATCAGCACCCCTATGGACATTCCAGGTTCATAGTACAAAACCGGTGCGACGAATCACCGAAACGGACCGAATCGGAACCGAAACGGACCGAATCGGACCGAAACGGACCGAAACGGAACCGAAACGGACCGAAACGGAACCGAAACGGACCGAAACTAAACCGAAACGGAGTCGAAATGGAAACCATAAGCTATTTTAAGGGAATTCAATACAGTTTAGATTGTGTGTGAACAAAACGGACCCCGATCGGAACCGAAACGAAATTGTAAATGTGTTTTTTTTTGGTAAATTTGAGCTGTGTTTCTTTATTTGTCGTGTAGGCCTATATATTGTGTATATTATATATGCCAAATACATACAATAATGCATGTATCTATGTTATATAAATACAAGCACATGACTAGATCTTCATACATTAGAAAGGCAATTATATCATAATGCAGTGACGAGACATCGCATTTTTTTATACGTTACGTTAATTTCCCCCTTTTATTAATTTTTTCTCCGTTGGATTTCTTGGCTCATTTTGATATTATTTTCAATTTATTAAATGCTTAAAATATTGATAAAGTTGTCCATTTAAATGAGCAATCCATACTTATCACAGCATAAAAAATACTTGTGGCGGTATAGACACACTGTTAAATTTTGTGTAAATGGTTCTAAGATTTATAAATGGATAATTATATCAACATTTTCAACATAATTGTGTTCTATTTGTGTACCGAATTGTTTTAAATGGGTTAGTTTTCTTTTCCCTCTTTTTTTATTATTTTACTTTTGTCTGGAGAATGTGAAATTATGGCACATTTAAATATCATACATTATTCAATTATGTAACACAACATGAATTGACATCAATGGCTAAATGTATTACCGATATTAATGACATAATTAATTTACAATACTAATGTCCATCCTGTTCCACCATGTATTATTGTCACCCATATTTGTATATATGTATTATCTACTCTGTATTGTTTATGAGAACAAAACGGGACCGAAACGAAAGGCATACGATTATTCCAAGCGAATTGAATTCATTTGATAACAGAAAACACTTTTGAATATGTGACCGTTTAAACATTTCATCAGTCTTTGTGACCGAAACGGACGTAAACGGAACCTTAACGTAACAAAAAAAGGAATATATGAAGTTATTTAACGCGAAGTAAACCCAAGAGAATAATGTGTTTGACCGTGTATAACGACAGAAAAAAATGTATGCAGTTATTTTAAAGGATATTCAATATACATTTGATCACTGCGTTTAGCCAAAACGGACAAAAACGAAAAAAGGAAAGAAACACTAAGTTTTTTTTAAAGGGTATCAATTACATTTGAATACGGTGAGTGACCGAAACGGACCAAAACGGCACCAAGAAGAAATACATTTTGTTATTTAAAGCGAATTAAAACACTTTTGAATAATGCATATATATGTGTGTGACCGTTTAAAACGAACAGAACCAAAAATGAGCCGAAAAGAAACGTATTTTAGTTTAAACATATTCTATTAAAAAATAATTGCAAAAGGAGTGGGCACAAGTTATCGCAACTTATAATCGAAACTTATACTAGAAACATATGAAGTTTTTTTAAAGGGTATTAAATATGTACATATTATCACTGTGTGCGACCGAAACGGACGTAAACGGAACCGCAACGGTTCCAGAAAACGAAATAGCCGAAGTTTTCAAAGTAGGTTGGTGCATTCGGTCCGTGCGAAGACCTCCTCGGCCGCAGAATACGGTGATACAAGGAGTTTCGAGGTTGTCATCGCAGAATCTTCTAAGCCGCTCGATGTAACTGCTTCCGAATATAACTGCTTTGGTCATGATGTCTTCTTTCTTCTACTAATTACAAGTTCTTGCAAACCGAGTTACACCACAATTTATACGTCGGGCAGGAGTAAGATAACCACGCCCATCTGAGTTTCATGTAGAACACCAGAGCATAAGCACGTGATATGTATGTTGACGCCCTCCTGATTTGATTCGCTAGTCACTTAATTGCTATTTTAGTAAGCGACTAAATGCAAATAATGACCTAGTAAGAACATCATTTGTATATATTGAGGTTCATATTTTAAAGCTTGTGATTTTTTTTTCAAAACATGAAGATTTTGCCTTTTTTTAACTCAATGGTGTCATTTTTATAGTAAACCGTTTATTTGTATCACTTTCTAGGTGGTGATTTACATATTTATTAAATTATCAGAAAGCATAAAGGAAGTACCAGTGACGTATTTTAACACGTGAACAACAGTTTGTTGTGGTTCACAAACCGTAATTGTATTTAGTCGTAGTACAACCTCGAGTTAATAATACAATGAGAAGTTATAAGCAATGTTGAGAAGGAAGAAACATCATTGCAGAGCAATTGTAAATTATATGGTATTTCACGAACACTTTTCTGATAATTCTAATTTATACTAGATTTTCATGTATTTCTCTCTAAGACCGTAAACTATTAAACATTTTAATTCAAAATGGAAATTATCTTCTATGATTCTTTTATACTCAAAATTTCGAGGGATTCGCAGAGAACGTAACGGGTACTGACTTGACCAATCTAGTGATAGGGACAGATGACGAACAGGCAATGAAGAAAGCCATAACAAACACGTTCCCAGACTCAACTCATGTGCTCTGTACTCGACATTTACGTCAGAATGCTTTGGACAAAATGACATCTTTAGGAGTTAATAAATCGGACCGCAACCGACTGTTAAACGACATATTTGGACACGAGGGTGTGACGGACGCAGACGACTCAATTACGTTTGACGACAAGTGTGACGAACTTCTGGCTACGTGTCAATCTGTCTCTCCTGAGTTCACAGATTATTTTTCAAACAGACTTAAATCCCTATTAAATCAAAAAGTCAATGAACCTCAAAGATTAGGCCGTATTGAAAAGCAATGGACAAATAACAACTGCGAATCAATTAATCATGTTTTGAAACATTTGGTCGACTGGAAATGGGCTTCAATGACTGGTGACCAAAAAGACAGATTAGTGAGGAAAGTAAAACGGGGTTTATTTAGAGAGGGAGTAGCGACATCTACCGACGGACAGTCAAAGTATCGACTGCCCAGAACATTAGGGAAAAAACCGGGACAAAGAAAAAGACAAAGGACAGAACGGACATTGACAGTATCTAAAAAGAAGAAGACGTGTTGAAAAGACAATGACTATGACAATGATATGTGTATTACTTTGATAGTGTGTGTTAATATTTGAACATTTTATTAAATATGTGATTATTTCATTCCGACTCATCCAAGATTATTTATTTATTTTATATATCCTTCGTCATCTCGTCGGGTGCACCTGACCTTTTATTTTCAACATACATCTTATATATGTATTTTTTTATTTGCTTGTTTATATATATTAAAACGTTAAGTTTATTTAATTTCGTTGTCTTCTTTTCAACAGTGACATGCTTTCAAAGTATTCCATTTTACAATTCGATTCCTTTTACAGTACGATATATTAATTTGTTCTTCAGCTTCACATTCTCTAGACAAAACTAAACAAAATAAGAAGGAAAAGAAGACTAACTCATTTCCAAAAATTCGGTACAGAAATAGAACACAATTATGTTGAAAATGTTGATATAATTATCCATTTAAGATCGTAAAACCATTTATACAAAATTTAACAATGTGTTTATACCGTCTCAAGTATTTTTTTATGCTGAGATAAGTATGGATGGCTCATTTAAATGGACAACTTTATCAATGTTTTAAGCGTTAAATAAATTGAAAATATAATCAAAATGAGCCAAGAACTTCAACGGAGGAAAAAATAAATAAAAGAGGGAATTTAACGTAACGTTTCAAGACAAGTGATGTCTCGTCACTCCATTCAATATAATTGCCTTTCTTATAATTGGGTATCTAGTCATGTGCTTGTATTTATATAACATAGATACATGCCATTATTGTATGTATATACACGACAAATAAAGATTTACCAAAAAAAAACATTAACACTTCCTTTGCGGTTCCGATCGGGGTCAGTTTTGTTCAAAAACAATCTAAGCTGTATTGAACTCCCTTTAAATAGCTTATGGTTTCCATTTCGACTCCGTTTCGGTTTAGTTTCGACTCTGTTTCGGTTTAGTTTCGGTCCGTTTCGGTTCCGTTTCGGTCCGTTTCGGTCCGATTCGGTCCGTTTCGGTTCCGATTCGGTCCGTTTCGGTGATTCGTCGCACCCCATCAAAACGATTATCATGGTTTGGTTGGTAGATTATTTCCTTACTAGTTTCTCTTTGTACCCCTCTCTGGGATAAAACAGTTTAGCTTAATAGTGTTTATATCATCAACTATTACACTTTACCAGCATATGAAGAGTTGCATTTCGCGAAAGGTCGTGTATGTTTTGTTTCAGTTAACAGATAAACCGGAAGTATCTTTTTGACCAATCAAATATCAAGTTTTAATTTAGCCCTAAGCGTAAACATGGATGCGCCCTGTGTTTTCTTCTAACGAAGCAAAGTTGTGAAATTTTGCAAAAGAGGTCTTACGTGTTGTTATTGTTCAATGAAAAGTTGAAAAAGTACTAGAAACAAAAACATATATGATATTGAACTCTTTAGTGTACAGAACTAGTTTTATATGTTGTTTCATGAAAAAATACACGCGGTGAAGACCGTCGACGATTTGATCATTGTCCGGCGTTGTGAAATCCGAGACGTGTGAGTATTGGTAATGTTTCGGGAATTCCCTGCATAACAGTGATGTGGTATTTCATTTTTCATACAACATGTGGAGAGAAAATGTCAAATGTGTGTTTGATCCGTGTGACGGCTTTAAGATGATCGTTTTACACTAGTGCAATGGAAAATTCCAATTCCTGTTCACCCGTTCACGGTGACCTATTTGAGAAAAATAATACCGAATCCGACGTAGTCCTACGCCGTGTATGTTCATGGGTTTACCCATAACACTAACGAGAAAATCGAATGTATTCTTTTTATTCAGTATTGTATTTCATGTTTTCAAAGTAACCAGTGACAATTTTTAGAATCGGAATGTTTGGCAAACCACGTGCTCCAGAGATGATGAAGAATATATACCTATTTTTTTTTGTATGTGATATATGTCTCAATTTACAGTCATAATTTCAAACATCTATGATTTCCCTTATTTCATTTTACAGAACTCATGTTCCATAATCAATATTCTTCTTATAGCATGTTTACTTTGGTTGTAGAACTAGTCATGAGTCGGAAGAGGACACAAGCACTTCCTGATATTTATAAACCAAAAAGAAGGTTATGTTCAGCAGCCACAACATTGGCCAGCAATGGCCAGACAACAATCAATGTATTACATGGAGAAATCGACAATGGTTGGTTTAGTATCTAAATACTTTTTTCTGAATCCTGTACTTATGTATAGTATACATGTATGGCATGAAAAAAATATGGTTTATTATTAATTAGTGTCTTAAAAGAAATTTGAACTGTATCCAAAGCATATTACATTGATATCATTTAGGAATAAAAGATACACTTTATGTTAATGTTTCATTTTTTTGGAGTTCCCTGCAACATTCTTTCCTTAATTGTATATTATGAATGACATCAACAAGTGAAATGCTAGAAATTCTACAAAATGTTTTGTAACCCTGGTAAATACTAGCCGCAATATACCGCTCGGCTATATAGAACTTCTCTTTAGTTTGATCGGTTGAGCGTAAGACTAGTAAGCCAGAGGTCCCAGGGTCGATGCCATGCGGAGGCAGTGATTTATATTTAATTAATAATGTGTCTGTAACATGTTTCATAAGGGAGGACTGGTGCAATTTAACTAACCTTTTTATGTGGACTCAGTATTTTCATCAATAAGACATCTATAGACAAATGGTTTATAGAAATAAAATGTCATTATGTGTCTAAATATTTCTTGCATTTCTTTCAGTAATTCTTAATGACACTCACACCTTTTTGAATCGGCTGAGGGGACTTTTCCCTGCAGATAAATTTAAGCATAAACTGCCACCAATTGTCCTGAAGCACCAGCTATATGGAATGATGAATGACCGAACCAAAGTGGATCAGGAGCTGGTAAGACCTACCATAAGATAATGTTAGTCTGGGTGGTGTCATCACATCTTGGCAAACTCTCCAGTCTCACTATAGGAATACAACTTACTATATAGTTATTGTCCAATTCTTAATCATTTTTGCCTATACATCTTTCAATGTTTGGGTATATAAACAGGTTTTGATCAGCTTTGTTTTCTTGGACAATTCATCCAGGTTTTAGAATTCCAATGATAATTAATGTAAAACATGTTTTCTACAAACACACTTCTAGTACCTGGTAACTTCCTGTTTGTAACACTTGAGGCCCCTGGCAGGAATTGCCTTATGACCATCAAACTCTGTAAAAAAAAAATGCCCACAGCAAACTTATTACTTTGGTCCCCTTAGTTTCATCATAGATTCTCTTTCAACCAAACCTTTTGCAGAATGACCTAAGGAAACACGGGCTGATCAAGTTGTTCAAACTGGGACCGGAGGCGGATGAGTACTGTATTCTGTTTACCAGTGACTACGAGGAACATGTGAAACAGACAATGAAAGGCTTGTCCATCAGTCCTTTATTGATAGGTAAGGCGATTACCTAGTTGCCATACAACACAGATATCTTACGAAGGTCAGTATTGGGTTCATAGAAATATATAAATATCCTGGAAATCTTGTCCTGGGAATTTCACCTGAGCATAGTAGAGAGTTTCAATTTCTGGCATTATATGAACACCATTTACAAAGGTGTTGGTTTGCCTATTAACCAATTACTTCAATATTGTCAACTACACCATGAAAACAAAAATTCTGTTTTCATATATTTCTTTTTACTAAATTCAACGTCTTAATAAACTGAATATTTGTTGTTGGGTAAAAAAAACTTGTCCTTTATTTCTTATTTTTTTGGTTTTGTTTCTTTTGACAGATATTTTCTTTTGATTTTGATTTCAGAGAGATTTAGTTCTAATGTTGTCAAAAAGTGTCAAGATGTCTGTGTGACTAAAGAGACACTTATGAAGGATTACAGATTCTCTGACTCGGAAATAACGTGAGTTTATTATGTTATATTAGTGTAAGGATAGCCATATGTTGAACCAATTTAAATAATATTGAGGCATCAGAAAATGTGTATCTCATAGACCTTCTTACATGCTTTGGCTATTCCAGCAATACAAATGCACAATGTGATAAAATTCCAAGGCGACATGTGAGGCCATAATCACTTAACTTATCAGGATTTGGACAACAATAACCAGGTTTCCATAATATTTCACATAAGTTCTAATTGATTAATATTTGATTACTTTGTAAACCAAGTGGGCAAAGTAAGTACAGATCTCCACCAAGAGGTCAATCTATGTGTACTGTATAACATGAAATGTTTGTTGTGTATAAACATTGGGGGTTTTCATGGTTGCTATGGAACCTTGAAAATAAAAGCAACACATTTTATTGATATATTTGACAACTGATTGTTTATATGGGGTATCTGCGAAAGGAAATACTGACAAAGGATTTTATGTTATACAGTATTATGTATCATAATACACATACTGTTAGTGGAGCTGGGGGTATTTGTCATGCCCCTTAGGTAAAAACATCTGTGTGTTGAGTTTATTTGTTATCCAGTTAAAGGATCAATGTTTATTTGGAAATTAGAAAGGTACAAGGTACATTGATTCATGATAATTCATGAATTTAGAATCAAAATTAGAATACAAATAGTATCAGGAGGGCCTGGTACATAGAATACCATAAGATCTTAGTACCGATAAACTGTATTTGAAGAACTGAAGTCTTTTGTATATTCCTCATTATTGCAATAATTAGGATGACAAAAATGGTATATATTTCCCTGTGTGTTAGTTAGAGGTGTCCAATTCCATTAGCCCGACACCAAGTGCTAGTAGATTACAGTGGTACTAACAAAACTTTCCAGCCATTGTCTTTATATGTACAACTCTTTGTCTTCACTATTGCAGACAACTTGTGAAAGCCTCTGTGATAACCGTGAAAGACATTGGAAACTGGTGGCTAGCTATTCCCAATGCTGGCACATTTATGAAGTGTTTTCTCCGAGGCAGGAAAGCTGTCCTTACAATGATCAGGAAGTGTAAATACAAAGAAATACTCAGAAAGGTGAAGATCCTCTCGTAAAAACTTCTTTTTGTCAAACGGGGAATATTAATTTGGGTTTGTTTGTCTGTTTGTCTGTCTCGCTTCGTTTTCGTGCAAAAGCTACGACAAATGTAAACCGATTTTCTTCAAACTTGGTTACAGTGTTAAATGCTTCAAGGGCTCGGCCAAGCTCGATGACCACTTTCAGTGTACCCTATTTGGCAGACTTATGGCCCCTTGAATAATGTAAAACGTCATTATCTGCTGCACTTCGTTTCCGTGCAATAACTACAACAAATGCTAATTGATTTTCTTCAAACTTGGTCATAGGGTTAAATGCCTTAAGGGCTCAGCCAAGCTCGATGACCACTTTCAGCGGACCCTGTTTGGCAGAGTAATGGCCCCTTGAATAACGAAAAACTTCATTATCTGCTGCGTTTCGTTTTTGTGCAATAACTACAACAAATGTGAACCAATTTTCTTCAACCTTAGTCACAGGGTTAAATGTCTTAAGGGCTCGGCCAAATTCGATGACCACTTTCAGCGGACCCAATTTGGCAGAGTTATGGCCCCTTGACTAACGAAAAGCGTCAATATCTGCTGCGTTTCGTTTTTTGGGCAATAACTACAACAAATGTTAACCAATTTTCTTCAAACTTAGTCACAGTGTTAAATGCTTCAAGGGCTCGGCCAAGCTCGATGACCTCTTTCAGTGTACCCCATTTGGCAGACTTATGGCCCCTTGAATAATGTAAAACGTCATTATGTGCCGCACTTCGTTTCCGTGCAATAACTACAACAAATGTTAATTGATTTTCTTCAAACTTGATCATAGGGTTAAATGCCTTAAGGGCTCCGCCAAGTTTGATGACCACTTTCAGCGAACCCTGTTTGGCAGAATTATGGCCCCTTGAATAGTGAAAAACGTCATTATCTGCTGCGTTTGGTTTCCGTGCAATAACTACCACAAATGTGAACCGATTTTCTTCAAACTTGGTACCAGGGTTAAATGTCTAAAGGGCTCGACCAAGTTTGATGGCCCCTTGAATAACGAAAAACATCATTATCTGCCATTTCTGTTCATTGACTGTCGCATATATTATCCGGTTGTTTTCAAACTTAGTAACAGGGTTCAACGCATTAAGGGCTCGGCCAAGTTCGATAACCACTTTCAGCGGACTCCATTTGGCAGAGTCATTGCCTGCAGTTTCCTCTTAATGACTCTAGAAAATATTAGATAAGGCTTTTTTTTCTTCAAGTTTCAAGCTATACATTTTGACTCAACATTAAGAGACTCACATGTTTAAACCTAACCTCAATAATGTTTACCTACAATATGTCCTGAAAGCGGGGGTTATAAATTCCACCAATTTGCTTGTTTGACATTAAGATCCATCCTCACTACTTTTTAGATAGTAAATATTGTGAACATTACATGTAGCCTGTCTATAATGAACCCTGTAGATCTGTTTTATAACGTATGGGATCAAATCCTATTAATATCCTGTTTTATTCCTAAACAAAATGTCAAAATAACATGCACATGCTTGAATATATAAAAACTGATAGATATTTCCTATAATGCCATGAAGTCATATTCACCCCTGAGCTTAATGTTAACAATAGAATAAACAGCTCTTACAAGAGTTTTTGCTGACCAAAATTTGATTTTTTATTAGGCAGATATATGATTATGATACATGTATTAAAAATCTGATTCCTGAAAGAATTTACACCCCTGTAAAAGGACTTGAACTTGACAATAAAGAGTTTCTGTTAATGTCACATTTCATTTTATATCGTCTTTATTTCCAGGTAGAGATACTATTAAAAGGAGCGCACTGTTGATTGAAAATGAGTTACTTGTAAGGATTAATCCAAAATCAAAATAACGTTCCATTTCGACTGGTTTCTTTTTAAACATAAAATTATATTTATGTAACATATCTAAAGCAAGTCTGTATGTTGTTTTCTATTGTTTTAGGATCTAGAACAACGAAAATGGCCAAAGATCTGTCGCCTTGGATTGATATACCACGTACATGATATAATAGGAGGAGAACTAGTCCACTGGTGAGTAAGGAGACTGTTTACTCAGTTAAACCTCAGACTTCATTGACAGCTTTGATATTATGTAAAACATGTTGTTATTGTTACAAAATTAGCTCACCTGACAAGAAATGCTGTCGTACATCATCTGTTAATCCATTTGTCATGAACTTTTCATTTGAGATATTTTTAATGCTAAAACCAGTAATCAAAAACAACTGATGTCTGTGATTTTCACTAAAAAAAAACACTGAAGCATTGTTGGGTAAAGAGGACTGAAGTTTGTATACAATCTGGGTGTATACCCCTGGGTCAGGGCTCATTAGGGGAAATGCAGGTAAATCTAATCTTATGCTGTGGCATGTCATCCGTCTGTCCATCTGTCATCAGATTTTTTTTTATTATTAAAATTGCTACTTCATGGAAGCAGGAACAACACATCATGCTACCAAGATTAGGCCGTAAGTCAGTCTTGCCTCTAGTGAGTTAGTCTGTGGGTCACTCAGATGCAAACACTTAATATTCCCACTCTTAAACCATGCATGCAATTGCTAGGCTAAAGAGACAAACACAATCATGTTACCAGGAATTTTAACAAAGGTTGGTCTGAACCATCCTTCGGGGCACTGTGACAAAATGCTTAAGTAAACAGAGGGTTTGAGCCTCAGGATCCAACATAGTCCCAGGCGACTTAGTTTCTGGGTCATAATATGGAAGCATTTGAGTTGGTAACCGTATCACCATATCATTAATGAGAATACTTTAAGATTAAAGAGATTGTTTAAATATCCAGGTCAGCAATACAGGCCCTCTGCTCTGCACTCCTGTTTTAAAATAGTTTACATACAGGATGGCTGTGATCAATTTATGAATATATGTATTGAAATGTAAACTCAACAGAATAGTTTTTTAAAGCTCTTTTCTTGAATTTGATGGGGAGATAGTGTTGATGTTGACAAAAGCAATGAATCGTGTAGCCGCCAAACAGGATATTGATATTCCTTGTTTATTGTTCTTATAGAAGTTGGTACAATGATTACTGGCTAATCCACTTGTCAGGCAGACTCCGTGTTCACCATCCCAATTACTTGATGAAGTCACATGCCATGCGTTTTACTGTTCTCACCACATGAAAACCCAGTCAAGTTCAGAAGAAGTTAAAAAAAATAGTCTCCATTTTATAAAATACATACCACACTGCTGATAAAAGGTTGTCTTTTGTACAACATTTGTTCAGCATCAGACTACCTCAATACAACTGTTATTATACAGAGTAGCTCAGAGTAACCTCAATGTATTTTTTTTGTTTTCAGCGTTCAGACTACCTCAGGACAACTTCTAAGACTAAAAGAATGACAGTGCTACGCATTTTTTGTTTAAGTGATGGATGTATGATTGAGAGAATCTCAAAGCCTCGGTGGAGTAAACGGTGACAGATCACAAGGTCGTGGGTACACCTGGTACCTGTTTACCTCACCCCAAATTTGTAATTCCAAATCAAAATGCCATAATACCATGGTGATCTATTTATTGTTTAAAACACACAGGGTCTATATAAGCTAATGCACAGATAATACTACAAGTACAAGTCTCTTGGAACTTGTTAGCTGTCTTTGCAATTTGTGAAGTTACTTTTCAATAGCTGTTGGGAGGCCCACATTTCACATCAACATCATCAATAATATCCTATACTTTTTTTTATTCTTTGAATTGGTTTTTGTGGATAATTTTAAGGTATCCAACTGGTTTTTCCCCCACATTTTATGAGACAGAGCTGCAGGCATACATCATTTCTTTGATACACTGGAACTGTCGTAAATGTAGGATGTGTTAGTCTGAAAAAAACGTTTTCTCTATGTTTATGTCAAGAAATTGAAATATGTTCTTTTAAAATTCAGTGGTACAGCAAAAATTATTCCAAAAGATTTGTTGAGGGGAACAAAAATACAAGGTTTCAATGTTTTATGAAACTGTGTGCAGTACTTTTTATCTGTGCCATCAGCATTATATACTTGTGTTTATTTTATATTTTACACAGTAATTCCTTTATAAGCTCTATCCTGTAAGAACATATGTTTAATCATGTATGTACTTGAGTTTACAAGCATTAGACATATGTGATGACGTCAACAAACCCACAAAGTATTCAGAGTCCTCCATATTGTATTTTGTATCACATGATTTTATTAAAGATTATGAAGTCAGCTGACACAAAAGTTCAATGAGAGAACAATTATCCAGTGCTATACAGGATTTGTTAATTGATCAATTCCATTATTTGGGTACTTCATAGTTTGAAATATTTTGTGTTTCCTGCTAAAACAAAGCTACATAATGTCAGTGTTTGGGAGTAAGTAGATTTGGTGTCGTCAATAACATGACACTACCCCAGTTAGTATAAGTTTTTCTATATTTAAATTTCCAAAATTACAGATATTGAATGTTTCTTACGAGTTTTTGAATCATTTTCTGGTAGTGTCCCACTATGGTGAGTTTGAAGCATTTTCTGGTAGTGTCCCACTATGGTTAACGTACCAATTTTGTTAACACTGTGTTATCTTCTTTCCTTTGGAATTCCAGAATTGCAGACTTTCGAAATAGGAAGAACTAAATATTTGTGTCTGTATTACAGATGTTCATCCATCTGACTTATTTTGTGATATTTGGTGGGGAATTGGTCCTTATAAGTGAGGACTAGTGAATGCAAGCAGGATACAATATGTGTCGAGTCCCGCTACATGGCAGGTAGATCTGTCATACTGGCAGTATGGAAGGGAGGCAATTCAGGCTAGCAGAAAGTCCCCAATTTGTCATCCGATATGATTCTTTTTAACTTCTCTGGCACTCCATACATCTGATCTTATATTTGGCTTCCGTCTGTTTGTCAATTTTATATATTTTTTCAACTGCTTCTCAACCTAGTTAAAGTTTTTAACCACTCTTCATACAAAAATTAAGATCACTGATAGCCATGAAAAAGTAATACTGTTTTTTTCAGCCTATTCGAAATCCATAATGGTTGTGCTAGCCTCTGATTGGCCAAGGCAGTTTTCATTTTAAAGCTGATCATTTATAACCAGTCTTGGTGCAAGGTTTAATATTTCATTCAAATGAAGCCGATTTATGCAAGGAGACAATGCAAACTAAGTTCAGCAGGTTTTATAGCCCTGATAAGGAATCTAACTGATGTGTGAAACAGACCCCATGTGCCTCTTTTTATTGTTATGTCCTACAGCCATCCCTAATTTTATTTTATGTCACTTTTCTACACTTATACCTGTTGTTTGCTGCCTTGTTCCATTTATCTTTCAACTCCTGATAATTTGTATCTAGGTTAATGTTGTTTGTTAACATATATGTAAAATAATGATTTTATTGTTAAATGCATGTGGTGTAAAACCGTTACATTCTGTATATATGTTAGTCAAATGCCTGCTGTTTTATAATAATGTCTGATTGTTTAAAGCTGTGATTTCCCTGTTATTTACAGTTTTGTTGAGAAACAACCTGTTCTGTTGTTTGTTTTAAAATTTGTTCTTTATGTGTTTATCCTTACATTACATATGTGTGGTTATTGCTACGATACCTGACCTAGCTGTTACAAACATTGCAGATAGTCCCCTCATTGGTTCAGGGTTAAAATGTAAAACACCTGTGTAATACACAGGTTAGTCCGAGTTTCCTCTGGCCCCGACACCAGACTTAGACATATTGACAGATAGATGTCTGGTGTGTGTCTAAGTCTGGTCGGGGCCAGAGGAAACTCGGGCTATAATCAGGGAGGCTAGTCCTAGGGCACTTCACTAATTCTCAATTTACACATTATGCATTTCAAAATATGACTCATTTTTGTAACTTTTTAATAAGTGGGTGGGCTTAAGACCGGGCACTGGTTTATCACAGGTAAACTACACCGTTACATAGAATTTGTCCGAGAACTGTCCTTACTTGTTTTTATATTATGATAACTGGTACATATAATACAACTGAACATACTGACAACAGAGGAAATCTCTCCTTAGTGTACAGTGTTTTGAAGATAATCCTTTGGAATCTTATCAAAATTTTGTGTATTTACTAGAATTTACATAGCATTAATTCAAGGTGGGAAATGTGTTCATCTCAATGGGTCCTTTACCAATCTTTACATGTAGCTGTATGTAGGTGTCATTATAAAGCATCATGCAATAATACTGCATGTATATAAAAGTTAGCTCCAAAGAAAATATATTCCAAACATTTTGTATTGGAATTTAATTAACTTCTGAGGTATTTTCCATTATCATTGAAAAGATTGATTTCCTTAAAACAGTTGTATTGATTTGTACTCAAACTAGTTGTAATTTTATACAAGCTGTATTTATAAAGTTTGATTTTATCTGAAATCTGTAAATAAACAATCCTAGATTGGGAAAGATTTGTTTTTCTCAATACATCTTGGTCTTCATAATCTTAGTGTTTCATGCTAGGTCTTTGTGTAGAGGTAATATGGGATGTTCTCTTTAAGTCTGGTGTTCATTTTGAAGAGTTGTCCTTTACAGCCAAGTGTTCTGTGTGGAGGTGTCCTTTACAGCCAGGTACATTGTAGAGACGTCCTTACTAGCCAGGTACTTTGTAGAGATGTCCTTACTGGCTAGGTACTTTGTAGAGATGTCCTTACTAGCCAGGTACTTTGTAGAGATGTCCTTACTATCCAGGTACTTTGTAGAGATGTCCTTACTAGCCAAGGTCTCGGTAGAGATGTCCTTACTATCCAGGTACTTTGTAGAGATGTCCTTACTAGCCAGGTACTTTGTAGAGATGTCCTTACTAGCTAGGTTTTGTAGAGATGTCCTTACTAGCCAGGTACTTTGTAGAGATGTCCTTACTAGCTAGGTTTTGTAGAGATGTCCTTACTAGCCAGGTACTTTGTAGAGATGTCCTTACTAGCCAAGGTCTCCGTAGAGATGTCCTTACTATCCAGGTACTTTGTAGAGATGTCCTTACTAGCTAGGTTTTGTAGAGATGTCCTTACTAGCCAGGTACTTTGTAGAGATGTCCTTACTAGCCAAGGTCTCCGTAGAGATGTCCTTACTATCCAGGTACTTTGTAGAGATGTCCTTACTAGCTAGGTTTTGTAGAGATGTCCTTACTAGCCAGGTACTTTGTAGAGATGTCCTACTGGCTAGGTACTTTGTAGAGATGTCCTTACTAGCCAGGTACTTTGTAGAGATGTCCTACTGGCTAGGTACTTTGTAGAGATGTCCTTACTAGCCAAGGTCTCGGTAGAGATGTCCTTACTATCCAGGTACTTTGTAGAGATGTCCTTACTAGCTAGGTTTTGTAGAGATGTCCTTACTAGCCAGGTACTTTGTAGAGATGTCCTTACTAGCCAGGTACTTTGTCGTCACACATACCTCCGGTAAACAGCGATAATCTGACGGCAGTTAAAACGATATGCTTATAACCAACCCCCAACCCCCACCCCAGGGCCCCACTCCCCGCTAATTTACCATGTAATATCACCTAATCATGTGACATATTTGTTCTGAAAAAACTTGTATGTCAGAAACGACATATTCAGTGTAATGTTCATTTTGTTTATCATAGATCAGTTGCGAAACTGCAAAGTTTTTACTAGAATGGCAAATATGTGAGGTGTTAGTAGTATAATGAACATGGTTCTGTGATAGAACATGAATCAAACTATCAGATGTTGGTAGTACCTAGTTCTGTCTGGAATCATAAAGGCCAGTGCTCTTAGTTTCTGTAGACATTTTAAATTTAATTTTGATTACATTTTGAATTTTTATATGCAGTTTTCCCTTCTGTTTATACCTCCCTAAGCTAGATCTGTTGTTTTTGATTATGTAATTATGAAAACCCTATATCTTTGTCTTTATTACAGACATATTTGTATCTACTAAGAATTGTCTTTTTGGTATAGAGCCTTTAGATGGTACGACCTTGAATACATTGTATACCAGACCCTGGAAGTATGGAATATAACTCCACTAAAATAATGGCAATCATTCTGCATTGATCAGTAGAAAAATATGTTTGGGGTATATAATGGAACCCAACTGCCAGAATATTGTGTCCGTATGTACAGTATTAAATTGAATTATAATCATAGCTAATTAAAAGAGACCACCCAAGGGCAGGCATTACAGTGGTTTCTTAACCACGGTGGCCGATTTGTGCCATTCCATTTCAGAGGGGAAAGACAAGCATTAATTATCCCGCAAAGATAAGATAAGATGAGAATTAAAGGCTACTAAATCTCGTCTTTTCATGATGAAAAGATGAAACAATGAAATGGCACAACTCAGCCACCGTACTTAACGGAGGTGATTTTTTGATCGAGTAAACTCCTTTATAGAGGTGCAGTTAAGAGAGAGCATCATAGGGGTGGTCTATCAAGCAGAATCCATTGTATACATTTTAAACCTATTTATTTAACAGATACACAAAGTGTAATGTATTTACCAGATACCTGTATTATAATACGTCGAAAGAGTCATGTATTTATTACTAGTATATCATGTTAGGTTCATTCAGGTAGTTTACATTATGGTTGTAATGTGAATCTATAGTTAGCTACTGTGATCATAATAATTTATAATACTTTATGAACTTGGTAATGAGTCTACCTTTATTCACAAACTGGTCAGTGGTCAGAGATTGACGAACAGTATCAAAGCTGAAACCACACAGCAATAAACAAATAGTTTAATGTTCTAAGTAGTAAAAGTGTTTCAGCAGTTGTGTTAGAGGAGACATGCCTTGTATATGTAGTCATTCAAGGTCAAGGTGATCATATTATGTTAGGTCACAGGTCAAGGTTGATATGTGACATGTGAAGTTAAAGGTCAAGGTGAACATGTTATGTTTGGTTACAGGTCAAGGTTGATATGTGACATAGGTTACAGATGAAAGTGAACATGTAATGTGAACTCAATGTCATCTGACGGTGCAAATCAAAGTAAATGTGATGTGTGGTCAAGGTGAGCATGTGATGTGAAGCTACAGATCAAAGTGAACGTGTGAGGTCAGAGTTCAAGAGTAATATGTGTTATGAGGTCAGAGTTAAGGTGAACATGTGATGTTAGGTAAGATGTCAATGTTGACATATGATGTGGGGTCACAGGTCAAAATTGACATGGCATGAAGTAAAAAGTCAAATAATTGAAAAAATAAAGAGACATGAAAGTGAACAAGTACACAGTGATTTTAGTAAACACTTATATACCTTATATTTATTGTGAAAATGAATTCAGAGAGCAATAGATTTTGAATGTGAGGTGGAGTTTTAAGAGAATATTATTGAGACTATGTTAGTAATTTACTTACTTTTTATAGTTAATGTACATGTAGGTAATTATTGAATCACCACTAAGATGTATTTTATGCATGTAGACTATAACAAATAATGTTTATTACGGTGTGATGTTTTCACGAAAGCATTGTATAACATAAGCAAAATCACTTGGGAGTATATGTAATGTTGGTACATTGTTATGATGAATCAATCCAAATACCTGCCTATGTTTGCAACGTTATGATTAAAGAGACCATAAGAAGTTCCTGATGTCCATCCTTGTTGTTTTTACAATACCAGACTAAATCATCATTGTCAATTATGCATGTCATAACAGATTCTTACACTATACTCTTCTGTTTATACAGGTGATTGTTTCAATTCTGTCACTTTCCACTTTTCAATAATGTCTCTTTTTTTATGAACACTACCTCTGGACTTGTCCAATCTCCTGTAGAATAGTAATAGCATTTTTGTTGGTCAAAGAATGGAATCAACCAGTTTTGTGGGGCTTTTTGTGTGTGTGTGGGGGGGGGGCATAAGGTG